TTTTATCTGTTTCTCATTTAAGAGTTTGCATTGAGAATGAATAAATGTTTCTAGGAAACMATTTGAATTTCATGTGAAAGGGTCTCTGTAGAATATTAGAAGTTCTCAGCAGTAGCTCTGTTGCCTTATATGTAGTTTCGTTTCTAATTTTCCCATTTCTTAGTTATCATTATCTCAAATATTCACAGTTGCATCTTTTATTCTTTTGTATGAATTGACTCCTCCATCACAGTAGCAGTTGTCCTGTTTTCCCTTGATGTTCTTCCAGCATGCCTAAATCTTGTCCAGACAGATGCTAAACACAGTGTTAAGGCTGTGCATTCTTCTCTGTTGTGCTRTGGCTGCTCTGTTCAGCCTGTGCAATGAGATGTGGAGCCCAGGACCACCCTGGTACTTCTGCAGCAGTACTGTTTTACAAACTCATCATCATTTGCAGCTCACTGTCACCTTGTACAATTTGTTCATTAATTTCTGTGTTTGTTTCTTCAATTGAAGTATCTCTATTTCCCAGTTTTCTGTTCCATAAATGTTCACTTCTACTTATGCAAGGTGCATATTTTTGTTTCATGTCAGAGTTCTTACCACTCCCATTAATTTTTCTCACTGTACTAGTTCAGATATATTTTCAGCACTTCCCAGTTTTGAGGTTTTTTTGCATATTAGACATTTTACTATTAGTAATTTCCTATTTCCTCTTCCAAAACAGTAAAAAAACTATGAAGGAAAGAAGATCTTAATACTGACTTGCTTTGAGCTATTCAGGACTTTTCTCCTGATCTGGATACATCATTCTTCATTGTTCCATAGAAGCTAATCTGTAAATCATGTGATATTATGCTGATTCAGAAAACAAAACCCAATTGCTATTGGTGAGGGTTCTTAAGACCTTGTAGGAAATAACACTAAAATTCAGATAGAAGCATATTGTCCTCTTCATTTCAGCTGCCTATTAATTCTGTGGTACTATTGAAAATGCAGTTAAGGTTTTTCAGAGCGACTTGTTAATTTTTAGTTCTTGCTACCTCATGCTCAACTTTCTGTGATTCTCTGGAGAAATTTTATTATCATCAAGATACCACCATAAATTTGCAAAAAAATTATATTTGCACTAAAATTGGAAAAAATTGCATTCTTCTCCCTGAAGAGCTTTTATTTTTAAAGGCCCAKTAAGGCATCAACAGCCACATCTATGTCCCTCACTGTCCTGCACACAAAAACAGGGTCCTCTTGTTGAWGCAGCAGTGATGAGGCGGCCCCAGGGGAGGCAGCCCTTCCTTCTCCATTTTTGTAACTTTATGCCACTTTCCATGATCTCCCTGCCCTTCTCTGACCTTTTTTCATGTAGATGCAATSCTTATGTCCCTTAATGGCAAACTGAGCATCTTGAGCATTGAACAGGATGAAATAAAATTTTCACCCTTAAGACTGGGAATTCGTTTACCATTCGAGGCTTGGTTCACAGTYCTCTGCTTCAGTTTTGGAGTTCTCTGTGGCTATGGGTGCCTGCGTATTCCAGTCACACTGTAAATGTTTGGAAGCAAGATACATCTTTAATACAAATGCAAAATATCAGCATAGAATATCTGGGTTTTGATGACTTGTTGGTATTTCACTACAAACAGGGTTGAGTTACGCTGGACCACAGAATATATCTTAAATGAGTTCTTCTGGTGATCTTACCCAGTATCTTATTCCTATATYGACTATAAGCTTATGTTTTAGAGTAGAAATGTTAGAATATTGCTAATAATTATGTTGGACAGTAACTACTACATCATAAGCTAAAATAGTGAATGTAATCACATTCAGTACTGTGATAGAAACATTAAACACTTTATTTGATAATGTCTGTTCTCAACTGAATTTACTAGTAGTTTGAGATAATTTGCATCTCCATTTGTTTGGGCCTGTGACAGACATTTGTTTTGCTTGTGTTTTGAGTGTCTTTGTTTCATCCTGCGTTGCTTGTGGAGGGTGAAAACAATGTTAAAATTGTTGCTTGCTTCAAGCCTTTCATTGCAGTTCTGGTTGAAAAAGCAGTAAATATTGATAAAGCATGTTTGGAGTCAGAATTTTCCTACAAATTACCTTTTTGTCTGAATTCCACATTTGTTTCCTCTGCTTAGTCCTTCCTGGATGATTTAGCTTCTGCTGTATAGCTAGAACTATAGGATTTCCAGCCACAGGACTGTTTCAGAAWGAAAAGCTAGGAAGCTTTAAGTTGAAAATCTTTCATGAAGTAGCTGATTTGAAAAYCTGAGCTCCCAAAATCAGTTAACTTGAGAAATAAAAAAAATCCCACCCAGACTGCCATTAATGTCTTGTTCCAGAGATCATTGGGTTTTTTTTTTGGTTTTGTTTTTTTTTAAACACATCCTGCAAGTGCCGATTCTGCAAGCCTCTGTTTCTCATAATCAGATCTAAAAGCCCTTTATCTCYTATCAGCTGTTGGCTGTGCTGTAACCTTTGGCTCCAGAGTTCTGGTAGGAAACCTGTACATATTTCTACAAAGAATGAAACCCTAATGGCCTTAACAGCACTAATCATGGTATGTAACTGTGCTGGAAATTAGTTTCTCAGGCGTTGATCTTGACAGGTCAGCTGTCACAAATGGATATACATATCTGTAAATACCTCAGCCCTAYAAACAAACTTATGTCTGCGGGAAGTGGAAGATAAAATTGGTACAGTTCTAAACAAATTAAGTGTTCCAAAGGACAAGAATGCACAGGAGAAGTTCCTTCTGGAAATGGTTTTCATTATGCTCCATTTATGAATTTTATCTTTAYAGTTGGCTTTTAAGAGACTCCATAGAGAACACTCTGGAGTACTGTTCTGAAGCTCCTTCTCCTTGCACTTACCCCTACTGCATAAAAGAAGAATCTTTGTCTGCTCCTTTTGAAAAACAAGAATAACTTTATGGATTTGCACTGCTTTGTCTCCAGTGTTTTTTGGAGCTCTTCAAGATAGTACAGAATATGGAGCATAGGGTATTCAAGAAGTCTAAAGCCCTTATATGAAATCAGATTTTGAAAGGTGCATGTATAGGAGAAGGAATTGATATGTCAGTCCACCAGCAGTGAGGTAATAACTTGAATGTGTTACATTTCCCATTCTTTAATGACAATTTAATCATCACCTGCAGGTTTTGCAAGCCATTTTAGAAAAAAAAATCTTGATCATATTCTTAGTGCCTGGGGCAAGGGAAGAAGGCTTAAAGAGTACACTTTCCTTACAGATTTGAGACACAACAGATACCACACACACCTACACTGACCTTTGAAGCCTGTTGAGCCATGTTGATTTATGTCAAAGCAAAGATAGATCCATTTGTTTTGGCAGTAGCGAGGGCTAAAGAACATCTGAAATATTTCAGAGCAAGCATCTAAATTCGAATTCAAAAGATACCATGGCTACAGGTGTTTATCTGCCTGTGTTGCTGCAGACATTGATTGCAGACACTCATCTGTCACTCCAAGCTGGCATCACGGGAGGAGAGTTTTCAATCTGAGATATTTTAGCTTTCAGGAGTGTCATTAGAAAGCTGAATAATATTCATTCCTTTTCCTCCTCCATCCTCCAGGTCATCTGGATAAAAGGAGGTGTACATTAAGTCTTTTCTCTCCTGCATCTCAGCTTTCAAAATTTAGTGACTTTGAAATAATTTTCATCAGTTGTGATAGCTGCTGAATATTCACTGCATGTCTTGTTCTTTTCTAGTTCCCTGTTTATCAGTTTAGTACAACAAAACAAAAATAAAACTTTACAGATCTCTTCCATCACATTTTATTTGTTGATTTGATTTGTGAGGCTTTAGGATAAAACAGAAGTCATAGAAATAAATCATGTAAGACATCTAGCCAAAGGCATTTTCAGTGAAATAAGTTCTTTCCAAGAAGATTTTGACTTGTTACATGAAAATTAGCTTCTGGCGGGAGGAATCCATATTTCACAGATCTTGGACYGTGTTTAATTTCTACAGGGCATGCCTTCAGCTAACAACATTGCTTCCAAATATGTAAGCATAGTGTTGGTGTTTAAGAGTAGAGCTGAAAAAAAAGAAAACAGTTTCTACTTGATACTATTTATGACTCTTCTGAACAAAATGACACTGTGGATTCTGTTTGAAGGCAAAAAGARTGTCTGCTGCTGCTCATGCTGCTCAGGAGCATATTTAGTTAGAATAATCCAAAGGTCACTTAAGATTGACTTTTCTGTTGAACCTGTTCTATTGAATTGGACTGTATTTCTCYTCAGAAAATGGAGTAAAATTGATTCTTAAAATGATACATTTAATTGAAAAATAAAATATTTAGATGCAATGTTCCAGGGAGATATCCTGAAAACACACATCTGGGAACTCTTACAGACGCATGAAGTAGTGATAGATACGAGATACTTGTTCATCAGGAGCCTGGGAGCTCAAGAGGCTGTTAYTGTTTTAGAGATGAGGTAAAAGTAGGGCAAGGACATGGAAAATAGGACTTAAGATAGGAGCTGAAGAAAATGAGAGTTGAGACAGTCTCACACAATAGAACCTATGTCAAGAATTTATATCTGTAGATGAGCAAGAATGTTATGCAGCAGGAAGAAAGGTTGGTCTTCAGTAAACAGGGAATTATTTGAAAATAAATGGGGATCTGAGCAGAGGGGAAATCTGGGATGGTGCAACCACAGGTAATCCTGAGGACTCTCAAGCAATGTAAATTTATTGAGGAGAAATGTAATGTCAGAGTGAACTAAGTGAAATAATATGACAAATACTACAGATGATAGAGAKTTTATATTGCACACATCAATGAAAATACATTCAGGCAAGGTACCTGTTTATGTCTGTCCTCTGAATTTCACTAATTCTGATTCTGCATGTAAAAAAGCCACACATTTCTCAACCTCTCTCTATCAGTTCTGGATTCGGTCAGGCTGCTGTTAAACATTTAGCAAATGCTGMAAGATTGCTGCCTGGCAGTGCTTCAGACTCTGTGTACTTTGTGTTGCAGTTGGCGACGTGGGACTCTGAGAAAGGCCTGAACGGCAGCCTCCAAGAGCGACGTCTGGGCAATGACTTACAAGGAGTGACACTCAAAGTGGTGACTGTCTTGGTATGATCCTTTCTGAGTTCAGGAAACAAAATGCTCAAAATAAAAAGGATCTGACTGAGTATTTTGGGCACTTCCCGCAGTGTTTTCCCCTATCATTTTCAGTTCTGTATTTTTGGATGATCAGTTACATAAGCCAGGAAGATAGATGATGGCCTTTTATTATTTTATGTGAAGCTGTGTGCTGTCGGTGATACAGAGCATTTGTTTGCTTTTCCTGTTTTTCTGCATTATAATTCCTACCAGGCATAGAACCAGCAYTGGGCCTGAGTGTACAGGGATGCATTCTAGACACCATGTTCCAGCTTGGATAGGCAGTTTTCAGCATTTCATGGATTTTAAGATCAGATGGGCCAATTATGATAATCTAATCTTGGCTCTTGTACACTGCAGGCTGTAAAATTTAATCAAGTGTTTCCTGCATCAAGCTCATAAATTCCCATTGAGATAAACTATRTCTTTTAGAAAGGTGTCATCTTTCCAAAAAAATCATTACACTTTTGGGACTACTGTCTGTTAGACTCTGGAGTRGTAAAGAGCTTCTGTCAGCCAAGTGCTACATTAGGGGCAAATTAGGGCTTGAATGCATTCCTGGCTAAGATATTGTAGTCTGCAGATTGCAGAATATGATGTCTTTTTTTCTGAATCGGGGTACAAATAGGCAGTGGCATGAAAGATCATTAAGGCACTCCCTCCAGTCCCCAGTTTTCTTTGCTCAATTTGTGCTGTAGCTGGTGTGAGAGGTGAGCAGGTCTCTTTTGTGACAGTACCAGGGAACAAAGGCAGCCAACAGTAGAGTGGCTGTGCTGCCGACATTCCTGGAGTTCTCCTGCAGGAGAGCAGGAAACCCATCCCCAGCAGAAAACATGCCACAAAATGCTACATTTCCTTGGTCCCAAAACACCCTTTTGAAATTAAAATACTCCAGAAATKTTGAATATTCAACATTATAAATGTTCATAAAATGCAGTAGGTTTAGCTCGTGTTTCAATATGTCTCTTGCATAAAAGATTGGGCCTTGTATGTAAAACATGGCTTTCAAAATCTGGGGTTGAATTTCTTCTGGAGTCTCTGCTTCTTCTCAAGAACTGTGGGGGAAAAAAAAGGGTTCAGGCTTAAGTGCTGAGGCAGTCGTGTCTGGTTGAGAAGCCTCACAGCATCTCCCATGACCTACAGTTTTTGCCTCAGAAGGTTGAGTGTCTCAAAATGTATGCCAAGTTCTTCAGAATTAACTCAGAAAACACCCTTCTGCTCAGAGAAGCAAACTAAAAATATTTTTTCAAGTGTCAGTTAAGATATTGTTTTGTTCTCAGGAAGAACCTTTTGTGATGGTGGCAGAGAACATACTTGGGCAGCCAAAACGATATAAAGGATTTTCCATTGATGTCCTGGATGCACTGGCCAAGAATCTGGGCTTCAAGTATGAGATCTATCAAGCTCCTGATGGCAAGTATGGACACCAGCTCCAGAATAGCTCYTGGAATGGCATGATTGGAGAGCTCATTAACAAGGTACAGCGAGAAGAAGCTGCATTTAAAATTACAAGAGTATGAATTAGGATGAAAGCACCCATGTAGAATGCTTCTGAGCTGTAGATGGTCTCAGTGTGATACAAATTGCAATTTTGTGTAGTTTGTACAGGATAGGAACTAGAGAGTACAGGATAGGAACTAGAGAGTCTCTTGTTTTATTTGCTCCCAGCCTCTCTCAACATAAGTTATATTGGTGTAAATCTATGTGTTTGCATTGCTGTAAGAACAGAGGTCATGTATGTGTGTGTGAGGGAATGAATATAGAAAACAGAGAAAAAATAAGGTATTCTCCTTAAAATGTTAGCTACTATTACTTTGGTTTTTGTCATTGTGTCTTTGAAACTTGTTTGTAGATGGGASTTCATTTCTGTCATTCTGTGATTGTGTGTTTGATAATGATCAGTCAAACAGGAAAAGGAGTCTCAGTAACAGGGTATCAGAATTTGAACTGATCTCGAGATTATTCATTCCTTTGAAACAGAAAGAACCAAATTTATTTTCTTAATTACAGTACTGCAAATCCAGAAGTAAGTTAATTGAACTCCATTTATGTAAATGGGTAGAGTTTGTAGGTTAGAATCTCCCAGAGAATGAAATGAGTGTATTTTGTTCATGTTCTTGCAAGCTGGCATGGGACAAGCATTAATCAAGAAGCAGAATCAAAGGAATTAATATTCCATGTTGCTGCTTTTTGTAGAAAAGGTTACTCTACCRCAGTGGAGTTGTTACTGGAAGTGAAAGCTTTTTAACTATCTAGTAAGCAGGCAGCCCAGTATCTGTAAGGAGTTGTTTTGGAAGAAATAGAAGCAATTAAAGCAATAGCAARTGCGTGTGATAATGGGATGTTCTTGGTTGGTGCTAGGGAACATAAAGAATTTTCAATTTATTTTGCATTGACATAAACTGTTTGAATTTCATTGATTTAAAAATAAGGTAAAAAATCCTGTTAAATTTCTTTGGAAATTGCTTTCTTTGAAGCAATAAAGTATCTATTATGGTATTTTTAAATGGTATTTCTGCTACCATTTGTTCCACAGACTCCAAAGTATTTCAAAGCAAACCTCCCTCGTCTAATATTTGCTTTACGTTCCCAACACAATTAGTGATAGGAAATGGAATGTATATTCTGCTTTTTTTGAAGAGAACTCTTTTTATTAAGACAGWTAATATTGAAAATCTAATTGAAGCTCTTCAAAAGCTTTGGGAATYTTATTTATTAACTCCTATCTTACCCTTCATCAAGTGTGAATATTCTTTAAGGATAATCTATATGCAAAACCTACTTGTTTTAAACATTGTAGTCAAAGCAATTCCAGGAGCAAAGTTGCCTTTGTGCACTCTTCCTGTTACCAGTTTTTTCCATCACTTTAGTCATTTTAAAAAACAAACAAAATCTTCTCCCCAGTTGTCATATGAAATCTCTTCATGAATATGGAAAGTTGGCAATTCTGCAGGGAGAAAAACAAACATTAGCTCTTCCCACCGTGCTATCAAATGCACAAGCTAAATAAATGGTGTTTCTTTATTGTTTACAGTGCACCAGGTTAATATGGTTTGRAGTTTTAGGCCTCCTTTGGAAAACAAGTGGGGAATAAAGGTTAAATAAGCTGCCCTGCTTCCAGAATGGAGTCAGGGTCATGCTTTCTCTTCAAGAATAACTTCACAGGTTATGTTTAATTACTCTCYTTTAGACCAGTGCAATTAACTAATGTTTAAATGGTGAAAGTGATTCTGGTTTTGTTTTTCGACAATTTGTATAAATGCATCTAAATGTTTTAAGTTACAGAATGAAATGCAYGGAGTCACTTGGTTCTTAGAGAGTTTCCCCGTAAGGCTCCCGCTGGCCCAGCTCCTGGTGGAAGGGAGCGACGTGATGTGTTGCCTTTGCCTTGCAGAGAGCAGACCTGGCCATCTCGGCCATCACCATCACACCCGAGCGGGAGAGCGTMGTGGACTTCAGCAAGCGCTACATGGACTATTCCGTGGGGATCCTGATCAAAAAGCCCGAGGAGAAAATCAACATCTTCTCTCTCTTYGCTCCTTTCGACTTCGCGGTGTGGGCATGCATTGCCGCCGCCATCCCCATCGTCGGGGTGCTGATCTTTGTCCTGAACCGGATCCAGGCGGTGCGAGCGCAGAGYGCGGCCCAGCCCAGCCCCTCGGTGTCCTCCACCCTGCACAGTGCCATCTGGGTGGTGTACGGAGCCTTTGTCCAGCAAGGTACCAACCTCCAGAGCGGTCAGCCTCGGGGGAGCCTCGGGACAGGGCACCCTCTGCATCAAAGAGAAGGCCCATGTGGGGAGGCTGTATGTTCTATAGCCCAGCTGACCAAAAGTGGGAAGGGATAGGCAAGTCTGAGGGCTTTATGTCTTCTTTTATGCCTTTTCTGTCTCTCAGTAAGTCCAGAAAAAGGACTAGCAGACTTTTTCTCTCTGGGAAAATCATTATACTAGAAATAAMCTGCAGAGCTGCTTGGTGCAGAATTGTAACACTTCTCCAGCTCTGAAACTAGTACGTTTTCTAATTGTTTAAATTTAATTTAGAAATAGAAACAGAAATATATATATATTTGAATTCACATGAGACAGTTAATCTCTTGATTGTTGGAACTGAATATGTAACTAACTTTACACTCAGGAATATCTAGACAAGACTAATACTACTGAAATCAGTAGGACTGCTGCCATTAATGAAGTTACTTTTTTRACTAATTTTTTACAAAATCTGCCCACACAGTTTTTGTACCATATCTATAGTGCTAATTCTATTGTTAGAAAGCAGGTTTTATTGAATGCTGACATATGGGTAAGCTGTTAATTTTTTTACTTTTTTTTTTCACTGTGATTGTAAGCTTGTAAAGCTTCAGCTGGAAAACCCATCCTATTGCTATGCAACTTGGTCCCTCCTCTCATTAAGGTGGCAGCCCTGGTAGGTTTAGGTGCAGTAAGATGTAATCAGCACAAACATATGCTGAAATAACTAGCACCAGCTCTATGGTAAGGTTTAGACTCCAGTGATGCTGAAGCATAACTGCTTGAAGGCTGCTGGAAAGAAATCTTCATATGATTTGAAATCTTGTAAAGAGTAACARGGAATGACACTAATGCTTCAGTCTTTGCAGATTTAAATACAGCAAAGTAGCACACATCAGGCAGTTCTGTGGGGCTTTTTTCCCAGCTCTAAAAGGGTCTTTGAAAACAGAATATTACTATATTCTGAACACTGTAATGATTTAATTCCTGCATATTAGTTGTGCTTCACCATTCATCTTTTTTTTTATTTAGTACATTTTTCATGTTCTTTAGATTTGATCGTCAGTRATTCTCAAGGGAAATATTTTGAAAGATGATTTTCAGGAACACTGTCTAGGGCAAGAGGTTGGCTGGAGAAAATACTTGTGAATTATCAGTCTTAACAGAAGCTGTGCTTTTCCCACAGTGAAAGGGCAGACTGGAGGGGAAGCAGAGAGATACTCCAACAAAGTTTAACATAACAGGGCACACAGAGGGTTATTGTAAATGGAAGCTGCTGAGAGACCCTKCTTTTGTCTGTTTATTTGTAGGGGGTGAATCCACTGTCAATTCYGTGGCGATGCGCATTGTAATGGGGAGCTGGTGGCTCTTCACCCTTATCGTGTGCTCTTCCTACACAGCGAATTTAGCAGCATTTCTCACAGTATCAAGGATGGATAATCCCATAAGGTAAGTGCCTCTTCTTAACATGAAGCTAGAAACCCGGATTTCACAGGAAGGTATTATCCATTTGAGCACTCATTCTTGCAAGAAGGAGATAACTCTCTAATAAAATACTCTGCTTATTTGCAGTGGCTGTTTTTCTCTCCTCTTCCCCTCTTCMCCTTCACTCCAGCAGCCCCCAAACAGTTTTGATGGAGGGGACAATGGCACTTTAATTCCGTATTTTTCCAGAAGAGAGGTCTTTCATGTTCGGCTGGTTGTTTGGTAGCAATTTTTGAGTGTGTGTGTGTGTGTAACTTGGGGCTTTTTTCAGCAAATTTAAAGGCTAAAGGTTTTCATTTTTTTCTCAAAAAACATAGACAAAATTTTGACCTTCACACTGGTGTGGAGTACTGGGAAGGCCATTGGCCTTTCACASTCAGTGCTGACAAGGTTAGAGCCTGATATTTCATGTTTGATCTGATGGTGATGGCATGGTGGCATTGCAGCACAGGCTCTYCTCCTGGAAAGTGCTGAGCTGAGGATTTCAGGTGCTAGAGGGTGACATGGTTAAGCTGTTGCTCTCATTTGGGATTGCGTTGGGAAGACTGGCACTGCATGTGCTCGCTGCCTGAAGCAGAAGAATTGTCACTGAGACGAGGCTGCCACTTAAAAAACTGCTTTTGCGTTTTTATCATTTCTGCAGAGAAGAATCTAAGTGCACTTCTTCTAAACATGAATTCAAATTTCAAAGTTTTCCCAGTTTTTAGCTTGCCAGTGTGTACTTGCAGATAATGGAACACTTTGTATGGATATAGCATCATCATCGTAATAAAATCAGGCCAAAATCGTAACAGACTTTGGCTTTAAATTCTCTTTCTGTTAGTTTGGCCATAATGAATGGTACYTAACAGTAACAGAAATAAGTATGCCAAGTAATTTCTGGAAATAATGTGAAAAACTTACATAGAATAAAAGTATCTATGTGTGAGGCCTGGATGTACTGGGAATAAGGTTAAGATCCGTGAATAAATTGCTCTTGAAAACTAAAACACAAATAGCTATCCAGAAAGCTTGTATAATGATATYCTTAAAAAATTCTCAAGGTTCCATTTCTTTCATTGCAGAAGAAATTTTCTGTTTGGTCTAATCAGCAGTTTCCAAAACTTAGCAAARTTCAGAGGAGGACAAAAGTTGGAGTGTGATTACGTGAGGAATCTCTAAAAAAGAACAGAGGTTTAAGAGCAGAACTATGAATTTTTAGAGGAGGCCTTTGAGTCTGAACTCTTACAACATTTGCAAAGGGTTTTAATTCCCCTTCTTATTAAAATGAATGGACGTTGCTCAGAATGTTGAGGAGGAGAGACGTTTTTTGTGTGAAGGAACTGCTCAGGATTATTTCACAAGTATAGAACTCAGCACCCTTCTGTTAGAGATGGCAGCTGGAGAATGGCATTTAAGYGTCTTTCTATACCTAATGGTAGCTGCCACATCCCAGGTTCCTTTATCAAATCGCCTCCTATACAAGATGAGGATAAAAAAATAAGAAAGCTATTGTGATTTGAAAACTTCAGCAGAGTAATTCAGGTGCCAGCATGTAAATGCCAAAAGTAATTTAAGTTGCCAGAAGTGTGTTCCTGTGTTCACTGCCTGTGTTCCACCTACTTGGCTGTAWGCACAAGTTGGTATTGTTGGTATTGTCTCAATGTGGATTGTTCATATGACCTGAGATGTCAAAAGTGGTCCTGGATGCTGTGGCTTAGGCACCCAAATCATTCCTGAGGTGCCTTCAGAGAAAGAAAATGGAGTAAAGAAATAGTTTCTCTGGAAACTGTTGAACCTTCATCCATCTCTAAGCTATGATGGATATATTTTCATGACCCACTCTTTWGGAGAAACACCTTATAAAATGATTTGTCAGATTTAGAACAAATATTTTTTTTCTGGGAAAATGAATTACTGCCTTACATGAATTAATTGTGGCCTTGTGCCTCGGCTCCCAGTAGTAGCTGGCTTTACATAATGTGATGTACAGTGGMGTTTGCTATGTTTTTATTTTTGTTTGCCATGTTTTTGCCATGTTACATGTTTTTGCCTAACTCTGCCACTCAGCTTGACTGCATTCTCTCTTTCATGAACCCAGAAAGGAATACTTAGGTGAAATCCATTTTTCCCACCCAAAGGGACACATTGAGCTAGAGCTGAGTATTTGCTCACCAGCTGAGAACTACCAAATCCATCTGTGTATACTTCCACTGTTAAGAGAAAACAACACCCATCCTTTCAGTCAATGTGTGCTGTTATCTCTCCCTCCACAGAGAAGTCCTCTTGTGCTCAGTGCTTCTGCCTCCAAATTGCCAGCAGGAGAGAAATAAGTATTATGGTGCTGCAGTAGCTGCAACGTATTTAAGAGTTTCATTACAAGACTGATTTTCTTCCCAAGCCTCTCCAAAATGCCTAATAGAAGTTGTTTSAGTATCAAATTTGGCATGTGTGGTCTGTGACTAGTGAAATAGAAGTATGTTTGATTGAATAACTAGGTGTCAATCAACCCAGTGATCACCGCCTCCATGATTTCACTGCAAAACAAGTGTGTCATAGAAGTTATAAACAATATTTATTAGAAGGGGCTTGGTAAGACATTCACTGAAGCAAAGCTGAGCAGTTAGAAGGCAGATTTTCAGAATTATCATGTCAGATGAAAGCCTGCTGWTAAGGGAATACTTCTTTTTGTGTTTTTTAAATCTGGCATTGGCAAATCTCACAAGGCTTTTCCACCCYGCTGTGAGTCTCAGAGGCTGCCTGTGACTCACGGAAAGGTGACCCAGAGTAGGAGGCATGGCAGAAAGCAGCTTTGATCTGCCACCTGTATTTGTTTTCTGACAGATATTCCATAAATCCCATAAATCCAAAAACGATTTTTTGTCCAGGTGCCTACATCCCAGCTAAGAAACATGCTTAACTTGGAAAGAAAAACWTCTTCACCTTGGATTTTCCCAAAATCTCAAGGCTTCATCTCAAGTGTGCTAACAAGAAGAGGCACTGGCTTTCTGGTCTGGCATGGCAGTATGTGCTTCCTTGCTCCTTGTGTGTTCTGCAGGCCCATCATTCATCCTGGTKGTCTGAAGGGTCCAAATGGGGAGTTTGAGACCTACATCAAAACCTCTATTCCTCTATTCAGGAGATCAAAGCTAACAGGAAATACGCTGTACCTTCCTTGGCTGCYCTCAGTTTTTCAGTTGCTAGTAGTTGGTACTTCTGTTCCCTGTAGATTTTTTAATGCTGCTTCTCTAATCCCTTTGCCCAAMTTACCTCCTGCACTTCTCATCTCCTATTTGCCCTACCTCCCAGCCAGGGATCAAAGGCAGTGTGATTGTGTCAGGATTTCTGCGTCTGTGGAGATTCACAGGCAGGGTAGTGAAAGATCAAGCAGATTTCCTGGCTGCTCATGGGTGGAAGAGTGAGATGTTACGAAGTTCAGTAAAAAAAAAAAAAGGAATGCAAATATGCTGGTGGCAACTACTTTGGAGCTCAGATTAGGAAGCTGTGATCCATGTTCTAACTTTGTAAATGATCAATTCTCGATTTTTGATTTAAATAAGAAACCTAGGTATTGTTTAGAGCCTATGCTAATCCTCGACAAACTTGTTAAAACCCAAATGATTTGCGTTTATTATTCTAATATTTGCCTTCAGTACTGTATGCAGCTGAGGAGTCTTCTTATGGGTCAGTCTGCCAAGTAAGGCAGAATTATTACATGCGAGTTTGTTCTTTCTTTTGTCTTATTACATTTTCAAACAGCTCTTGGATCTGCTGTCTGACCTTCCATTTGTAATTATGAGTTTAATTAGCAGTGACTTACATTCCAGCTTCATTTCTTGTTAACAAGCAGACTACATGCAGTTCAATAGCTGCACAKATATTCTGAAACTCAGGTTTAGGAGAGCTTGTCTGACAAGAGGTTAAGAATCAGGCAAGAAAAATAGCACGTAAAAAGGTATTCTGTTTGCAGATTCAAAAGAATTTAAATTTAAGGTTTTATCAAATTGATCCTTAACTTTTGCACCTGCTAGGGATGCCTTGAGAGGCATCTGTATTACCTGCATAAATGGACTGCATACAAATGCATGATATATCTGCTTTAAGATCACAGCTGTTTCATGATTTGGGATTTCCTTATTTGCATTTTAATCCCTGAATTTTTTGTGTTTTGGTGACAGCTGAAGATTTAGTACAGCTTACTTGGATTGATAGGCTGGCACTTGGAATACTTGAGTGCAAATTCTTTTTCTACAACAAACTTTGTTTGATCTTGGCAAACTTAGACTCCTCTCTGTCTTGGTTCTCTTTCTGTATAACACGGTAATAGTATTTTCTCATATGGCATGTTGTCAGTTTAGCTGCTTTAAAGATGATGGCCATAAATGACCATATTATAGTAGCTCTGCAGGTATCAAAAGAAGATAGACTTTCTGGGTTGCACAAAACAGCCACAATCTCAAAATATTTTAAAATAAAAGGAAGAAAGTACTTGGATATTGGCAGCCAGAAGGAAATGAACAAACATTCATTTGCTGTCTTTAAATGGATTTGATAGGGTTGGTGGCAAGAACCTCACAGGAATCCCTCTGTATTCACAGCAATTGTGTCATGAAATTCCTTATATCTGAAAACAGCCTTTCTCTTGTTAATATTATATGTGATTTTTTAAATATTTCATTGGATTTTCCTTTGTTATGTTTAATTTGTACTGTGTTTTACAGTGTCTGTGCAGCAAGCACCTCAGGCACATTGGCAGGAGGCATGTRTGAATGAGCATGATAAAAAATAATTATTATGATTATTATTAAAGGCCTGTGAGCAAAAATTTCAATCATTGAATAACTAGATTAAGTCCCTCCATAAAAAAATGAAGACAAAAAAAACCCCCAAAATTGTAAGAAAGATGCAAGTGAATGAGCAAGGAGTAAAAATTTTTTTTCCTTTCCAGAAAATTCCCTGTCTAGAGCACAGGGTTGAAATTTCCT